ACACACACACACTCTCTCTCTCTCTCTCTCTCTCTCTCTCTCTCTCTCTCACTCTCTCACACACACACACACTCTCACACACACACAGGTCGACTCTTTATTAGGCTTTGAATATTTAGTGTCACTATGGTTAGAAATAAAGCCAAAACACCCATAGAAACACAGAGTCAGACGTGATGTGGACTTACGTTGAGTTTGTAGGGCATCGACTCGAAGTAGATGGAGGTGGCCGAGATCCGCTTGACGTCAGACATGTATCCGTGAGTGAGACTGACGGAGACACAGTATTCATTACACGGGCGAGACAGGCAGAGAGTGAATGAGAGAGAGAGAGAGGGTCACTCACTGTCCGCCGTCGGGCAGGTCCAGACCCATGATGCGCTCGTGAGGGTTCAGGACGGCTGTGTAAGCAGCGAAGTTCGCCGGAGATCCGGAGTACGGCTGAACATTGATGCCCCACAGCGCCGGGTCGAGGTCAAACGCTTCCAGCGCTCTCTTCTGACACAAGAGCTCGATCTGATCCACCACCTCCGCACCGAGACTGACGGAGACACAGAACTCATTACACTCTATCTGACGAGCGGGCGAGAGAGGCAGAGAGTGAATGAGAGAGAGAGAGAGAGAGAGGGTCACTCACTGTCCGCCGTCAGGCAGGTCCAGACCCATGATGCGCTCATGAGGGTTCAGGACGGCTGTGTAAGCAGCGAAGTTAGCCGGAGATCCGGAGTACGGCTGAACATTGACGCCCCACAGCACAGGGTCGAGGTCAAACGCCTCCAGAGCCCTCTTCTGACACAACAACTCGATCTGATCCACCACCTCAGCCCCTCCGTAATACCTGCACACACACACACACGCGCACACACATGCACGCACACGCGCACACGCACACAAGCACGCACATGCATGCACACGCACACATAGATGAAGCACATCAGACACATCAACCTACCAACCATCAGTCTCATGAATAAATGATTAATTATAAATACATACAAATACATTAAATAAAAAAAATAAAAAAAATTAAGTAGATAAATTTAATAAAAATAAAGTAAATAAAAAAAAAAGATAAAAAATCAAACAAACAATAAACACAAGTAAATAACGACATTAAAACTAAAATAACTACATAAAACATAAATTAAATAAAAATAAACAAAAAAGATAAATTGAAGAAAATAGTAGTAAAAAATTATAAACTACAAATACAAATAAATCAGAGAAATCAAATAATAAAGTAGTAAATAAAAAAAAGATACAAATAAATAATAAATACAAACAAAAGTAAATAAATGAAATGAAACACTAAAAATAAATAAAAATAAATACTTATAAAAACAAAAAATGAATGAATGAATAAATAATGAAAAAATATAAATAAAATAGATACATTAAAGGTGACCTATTATGCCCCTTTCTACAATATGTAATATAAGTCTCTGGTGTCCCCAGAATGCGTCTGTGAAGTTTCAGCTCAAAATACTCCACAGATAATTTATTATATCATTTTGAAAATGCATATTTTGAGTGGAAGCTGTGTCTTTAAATGCAAATGAGCTGCTGCTCCCCGCCCCCTTTTCCAGAATAGAGCTGCGCCATTACAGCTCGTACGTCAGAAACTCTGATAAAAACAAACAAACATTTGTGTTAGATTTTAATTATGTCTATCACACTGAAATCATGCGTTTTAAAGCCATATCAGTTTAAACTTCTGATAAAGTGTTTTCTGAGCGCACACATGCGAAGCACACGCACAGAAAGCGGCTGACACACGCATGCGAGTATTAAACTAAGCTCTCTTTCATGTCTTATTGCGCTTAAACTGTCAAATACACAAAAGTTTACGTTAAAAACACACGAGTTACAAAAACAGTGGGTTATGTCTGTGAAGGTAAACGTGCAGCCAAAGACAGAACAGTTAGCTTGTTTTGCTCAAACTTTCGTCATGGCATTAGAACTGGTATATCGTTGTCGCTTGCGAAATCAAAATGACGGCGTCATGGGTGTAAACTTACAGATTAAGGGGCGGTAATATTATAATGAGATCCCTTTGCAACGTCACAAGGGGAGCGAAATCAGACGTGCTCGTTTTTTCAGACGCTTGCAGAAAAAGGCTTCCCAAAACAAAGTTACTGGGTTAATCTTTTTCACGTCTTCTGTTTTGGTAGATGCACCGGAGACCCAATTTTAGCACTTAAACACGGAAAACGTCTGATTTTCATGATATGTCACCTTTAAAAATACATAAAACCAAATAAAAATAATAAAAAGAATTTTAAAAAAGACACCTTTTTCCCGGGTATCCTTCAGAGTACTTGTTGTTGAGACACGAACCCTGAGCCTCGAGAGCCGCACGGCTGCAGAAGTTCTGTTGAGAGACACACACACACACACACACCCACGTTAAACATGTTTGTTTGTTTGTATGAAATGCACAGATGAAATGTATAAAGGACTAAAGCACTCTTAATGAAATGGTTACATAAAAGTCTATATTTAAATGTATAATGAATTATATACCATGAAAACAGCATATTAAAATTTTTCATAACATTACATTTCACAAAACTACTATTGTGTCAATACTGTGTTCCATATTAACAAATACTGCATCCCTAATTTGAAAATGACACACACACACACACACACCAAAATAACAATACATCTAACAGCACAAACACATCCAGATCTAGAGGAAGATGAGTCGCATGATGAAGATCTCAAGTGTGTCGGTTCCTCATACCTCTTAATCACTCCATTCTTTCATTAATTTTAGTCTTAAGACTCTCATATTCACTTCCATTCAGCCCCTGAACAGGTTTGTGTCTTATATTTATAATGTATAATATAGTTTAGCAATATCACATGAGCAAGAGTGCTGTTTTTCCCAATATCTGCACCATTGCATTTATGATATTGATATTACAGTTCAATATACAAGTTTATATTGTGTTATATTTTAGACACAATATTGTCTGTTTTGATCAATTTCACACAGAACTGTTGAGCGTCTCTGATCAACACAGTGGTGATTCATTACTGAATGAATCCACGGTTTTGAACAAATCAAGTGAGTCAATGATTCAGTGACTCATTCAAAAAGACAGTTACTTGCTTAGTTTCTGAATGAATCAGGCGTATGAACGACTTGAGTGATTCAATGACTCTTTCATAAAGAGTCACTTGCTTAATTTCTGAATGAAAGAGCTGTCTGAATGAATACAGTGAGTTAATGATTCAGTGACTCATTCATAAAGAGTCACTTTCTCAGTTTCTGAATGAATGAGATGTTTGAACAAATCAAGTGAGTCAGTGATTCAATGACTCATTCATAAAGAGGCACTTGCTTAGTTTCTGTTTGAATGAATCAAGTGAGTCAGTGATTCAATGACTCATTCATAAAGAGGCACTTGCTTAGTTTCTGTTTGAATGAATCAAGTGAGTCAGTGATTCATTCACAAAGACAGTCACTTGCTTCATTCTGAATGAATCAGCCATTTGAACAAATTGGTTGAATGAATGATTTAATGCTCACTCATTAAGACAGTGACTCACTGCCACCTACTGGCCAACTAGTGACTTTAAATCTTTTTAGGGGGTGATTTCTCAGCCAAAATTCACGTGTAATTAATTTGTGATTATTTCAATGAATGAATTAGATTAATCTGAAAGTGGTGTGGAGTAACATGGGTCGGTCTGTCACCTCAGAGGCGATGAGCTCCAGTCCTCGGCTCTGTCTGTCCTTCTCCTTCTGCAGAAGGTCCCACATCTCCGGATCGTCCTGAGCCAGACTCTCCTGTCCCGTCCACGAGCGCTCGTCATCAGCAACCGCCGGCGCGGAATGCTGGGATCTGACGTGGGCCGCGGAGGGAACACGCTGGCACACGGGCTGAAACACAAACACACACACACGTAAGATCCGTTCATCTCACACACACCAGCGCTGTCTGCTCATGAGCGCCTGACAAACAAACGCCAGCAAACAAACACTCACAAGTCTCGAGCGTTACTATATTTAAAATATATATTTAGCTATTAAATAAATAAATAAAATTACAAATTTTTATATATATGTGTGTGTGTGGAGTGAGTGAGTGAGTGAGTGAGTGTGTTTGTGAATGAGTGTGTGTGTGCGTGCGTGCGTGTGTGTGAGCGTGTGTGAGCGAGTGAGTGTGTGTTTGTGCGTGTTTGAGCGTGTGTGTGTGTGTTTGTGAGTGAGTGAGTGAGTGTGTTTGTGAGTGAGTAAGTGAGTGTGTGTAACGGGCCGTTGGTGAGATACAATAATCAGCATGACGAGACGCTTTAATTTTGCTCCAATCAGCAACTCTCAACAGAAACTTTACAGCCGAGTGGAAATTCAGCATAACTGCTTATCTAATCTCTCTCTCTCTCACACACAC